TTTTTTTAAGAAAAATTATTATTTTTTAATATTGCCATATTTATCCTTATGCAAAAATATTATTTATCAGTATTAAAAGCATATTTATATTTAAAGGATTAGTTATTCACTTTTGTTGTTCAATGAATTGTGGAGCTTCAAAAATTATAAACCTTTTCCTATTATATTATATTATTTTCTTTTAATAAGTTATAGTAAATTGTATAAAAAATATCATATATTTAATGATACATGTAATTATTATGTGTACAATGGTTACACCTATAGAATTTTTATCTTTTACCATAGTTCAAGGTTTTGGACACTTTAAGACAGTTTAACCCAGTTTAGGACAGTTTTACCCAGTTTAAGACAGTAAAACCCACGTGTCCTGTCCAAAACCAGTTTAGGACGTCCAAAACCCCAACCCTGTTTTAAGGAGGTATAGAATTTATCAATTGAAAGATTTGGGACTAAATTATAATAAAAAGCCACATTTTTCAAAGATTGGCATTATTCAGGGTGGAAACTCAAATCAGGTTTCAAATTTTTCAAATCAGGAAAAATTTCTTTAAAAAAATTTTTTTTACCTGTTGGCACAACATTAATTAAAAAAAAAAAATTAAGATGGATGCGGAGAAAATATGTTTAGCATGTAAAATATATTGTTTTTATTTAATAAAAAAAGTTAAATATGTTAATTTCAGTAGTTTTTTTTTTCTTCAAGTAGCTTAAGTGGCGATCAAAAATAACGTTCATCAGAAATGCTCTTTAAAAAATGCTGTATCATAATAAAAACTTTGATAAAAAGTTAATAAAAAAACTCAAAAGAGAGACAGAAAAAAAAACATTCTCATTTCTTAAAACATAACTTTTAAAGTTGAAAATCACAGCATTTTTTTGTTACCAGCTATCTGTCTTACCATACTAGAAAAAAGTAAAAATAAAAGAATAAAATGTATCATAAAATGCTGTGCTATAATCAAAACAAAAAAGAAAATCTAAATTCTTAGAACAGAAATTTTGCTTTTCCATTTATTTTCCACAACATAAATTTGCAAGCACATGAATTTTAAAACTTAACAAATATGTGTAAAGACTATATCTGATTATGCATAATAAAAATACTATTTTAGATAACTAGTCTGTTAAAACTAAAAAACACTTTGTCAAAAATACTTGGCCGAATATTCGGCAAGCAGGCTAAATGCCGAATAGTAATCGAATATTCGTTGCATTCCTGATTGTCTTTCCTAAAATGCATAGTCTCCAAAAAGGTTTCTCCATTCATTTAGCAATCATGGGTTTTATATGGCATTCTAGTTTAACAGGGTTATAATGGAATAAATTTTGATCCATGCAAAATATTGCTAATAGTTTGGCAACCAATTTCCGTCTAAAAAAAGTGGTATAACGGATCATAAAATAATTTAAATTAAGAAAATCTACAAAAACTTCCGGCTTTACTTTAAAATTTCCTGATTTTTCCAGGTTTTTATCTAAATTTCCCCGACTTTTCCAGGTTTTTTCCAGTATAAAAAAATTGCAGGAACATGTCAGGAACAATTTGTAGGTAGGGCTCATTGTCATACTAAACCATACACTTCAACTGACTTCTACATGTTACTTTCAATATCAATATAAACTTGTGTTTGCCAACATTTTTTTTTTCGTATTTTAAATATTATATAAATATATATATATATATATCACAATTATACCTGCAAAAAGGAATGCTTTCTAATATTATATTAATAAATATAGCGAAAGCAAAATATATCAGTACAATAGTGTGAGGAACACTCACAGAATTGAAACGAAAATAGAACACATCAAGTAAAAAATATACAAAATAAAACGTATCAAGGAAAAAACAGAAAATAAAATGTAAATGAAGTATTTATTTAAATACCATATTTAATCAAATTAATAGAATTAAAAGAGCATGTAGTAAAGTTTATTTATCCAAAAAACATAGAGAAAAGTGAAAAAGTAAATTTATTTTAACCAAACAAAAGTTCTAAAAAGTTCTTGTTAAAACTTGAAGGGTCAAAAAATGTAAATGGTGGGAGTTTTATAATGATTTTAAGAATTGTACCACTCTATACCAAAATAATGTCTTTTTGATCATCTTGTAACATAATAGTTACTTCAGCAGAAACAACATCAATGATGAAACAAAAATTTGATTTCGAAAGCAAAAGTTTATAGTGACTTTTACAAATTAAGAGCATCATTTTGATTGAATGAAACATACATAGATAGCTTATAATTTTAAATATTTAACATTATATTTAATAAATATATTTAATATTAACCATTCAGAAATGGTTTCAAATATGTCAGATAGTAACATAATGTTGTTCTGTTTTTTTTTTTTTCACTACAAAATTAAACTGTGATACAGTTTTAAAAACTGTACATTTTGATAGTAAATTTTTTATAGTTTTTTGCATCTTAAAGCCATAGCAAACTTCACTCTACTGATCTTAAAGCAAAGGAAATAATGCCCTAAACACAGTTATGTAAGTTTATTTTACTCAATCAATAAAATAATACTAATGCATGCAATAATAAATACTATACAAAAATAAATACTTTAAGAGAAGAAAATTATACATTAACTTTTATTTTTAATCGATAATTTATGCGCATTTAAAAAAACTAATAAAAGTAATAGAAACATACATAAAATGAACAATGATAATAAGCTCTTACCATGGATGAATATCCCTCTCCAATATCCATGCTATCCCCGGCCATGTTCAAGATTATTATTTGCTGTACAGGTTAACTAATCACTTTTTAAAAAAGGATATGAAACTGGAAAATCATCTCTAAAAGATTTTTAAACTAATTAATAAACTTCAAATATCTTAAATATTATTAAATTTCACATTAGAATGATACCTAATATGTAAATACATGATTATTTCTGAATTTGTAAGATTAAGAATGAAATAAGGGGGACATTTTTTTATAAAGGGGTGTTGTGGTTAATCAGTAGAGATACGTAATCTCTTCTCAGATATAAACAAAAAGATAATTACCTGTAAGAGATATGCTTCTTATTACGTTGAACGAACGCAACTTCTAAAAATTTAAAACAAGTAGACAAAATTGATAGAACAATAATTCATTATAGGAAATCAAAATGGTAATAAAAAACTATTCAAATCATTAAAGAGTAGTAAACTTTGGATTTATAACTCATTAAAGAGTTATAAATTTTGGATTTATAAGAGTTTATTTACATGCATCACATACATTGAGATCGCAATTACTATGACAAGTCCAGAAGAAGACGATTGCTTCCGACGGACAGTTTCTTCCCGATTGCATCTGTGAGAAATTCAGGAAACCGTTAGTAGAACTATTTCAAGTTCCCTAAATATATTTTATCATAGATAGCATTTCAGTTTTACTATAGCTTTTAAAATAAATTATACAAACATACAGATTCATTTATTATGCTAATAAATAATTATATATCTCGACTGAGGTCGGAGAAAAAATAAATCATTAATTTAAAAGAAATAGGCAGCTGAAAGCGTAATTTATAAACAAAAATACTTGGGGCCTCCCTGGCCGAGCGGTATCGCCGGTCCAAACGCTCTGTTAAGCGTGGAGGTAGCGGGTTCGAATCCCGCCGTAACCCTGGATGTATTCTTTGTGATGTCTTCCTCTGAATTGTTCTATCTGTATTTTCTACTTGACAATGACTTATAAGCCTATATTGAGCACACAAGTCAGCAAATGTATGTAATTTCAATAAAATAAAATAAAAACAAAAATACTTGGTTTTTCCGATTTTTATTGAGCTTTGTTGAAAAATGTTTAGGAGTGGAGTGGGTATTTATATGATCATTCATGAAACTAAATGCTTTAGCTCCTATTGTGCTATCTATCCTCTTCTACTTGACGAAGGTTTATAAGCCTATTTTGAGCACACAAGCCTGAAAATTTATGTAATTGCAATAACCAATGATCATTCATACCGAATAATTGTGTTGAATAACCAAATATTGTGATTTTTAATTTTTGTCTGCTATACATTATAGTAAGGTAGTTAAGAATGTAGTAAGTTGTTCCGGGTCGGTAGTTTTTGGAATCATGCGCATGCATGAATATTTAATTGGTGGACCATTTCATGTCCGTCTAATTGGCAGTGGTGTCAATCTCTGACATCTATACCCACTACTAATCGAAAATCTGCAGAGATTTGTTTCAACAACATCCACAGACTTCTAATCAGCTTGCAGTTTTTAGACTTTAGTGTAAAAGTGCACTGGCATAGGCCTGTGAATCCTGTCAGACTATCAACTTCTTTTAATAGCCACAAAAAGGTTATCTCTTGAAACAAAAAAAATAGAGAAATTTAACGTCTTAATTATGGGGCTTTTGATAATTTAAAATGTATCTGTCTGTTCTGTCACAGGAATGACAGCTAAATTTTTAACTCATTATAATTTTTTTTTTATTTCTACTTTGGCTTCATTGATATTATAACTAAAATAAATTTATCAATTATAAAATAATTTTATTAATAAAAAATAATTAAATAATGATAACTAAAATAATTTTATCAATTATAAAATAATTTTATTAATAAAAAATAATTAAATTATGATAACTAAAATAATTTTATAACTTAAAATTTATTGCATTGCATCAGCAGACCAACTTCAACAGTTTCCTGTCTAACCATTACTTGAGCAATTCTTTTCCTCTTTACACTTTCTCCCCTCCACCACTGACGACTTTGCATGTATTGCAAAAATACTGTATTTATATTTAAAATTTCAGTATAAAAATATAACTACATGTAAATAAATTTATGAAAATATGATGAAACTATGAATAATTAATTAAAATATTGTTACTATCATAACAAATATTTTATTCTATCGTTAATATTAAAAAAATGTAAATAAAAATTATTAATTTTGAAAAAATAATACATTTGAATTATGGATAAATTTTTTCATAATCAGCAGTGCCCTATTCAGTGCTTTTTAACTATCTCCGGAAGTGCTTACGCTATTTCGGATCACATTGCTGGTATCTTCTGCATTGGTCTTATTTAATACCCAAGATTACATACCTTATTTTTTGGCGAAAGCACCGCAGCGCTATCGGAAAAAAAAGTTGTTTTTTCCTACATGCAGCGCTTCCGACAAAATAATTTTTAGTTGCAAAAAAATTTGTGAAGGAAAATTATTTAAGATGAATTAATTTTCTGAGAGAAAGACTTTATTAAAAAAATTAATTACAAATTCGACAAAATATTCGCCTGTATCGCGATCTGCTGCAGAACAATTGCCACTTAGCAAATTTCGGTAGCAACCTGTAAGAAAATTTTAAAAATTAATAATTAAGAGGTATGTATCTTGTATCCACCCCAAACTTAAAGAAAGTTCACAAGCTAGAAATTCACTTAGTGCCTTGGCAATTGTAATTGGAGCAAACAGATAAGGAAGTATCCCCTTTTCTTTTCCCCAACCCTTTTAAAAGTAACTGATTAATTCCTCCTAAACAGCTACAGTAGAAATAACAAGTGGAGGAGGTGTGGTACACCCCTCTTTTAAACAGTTTTTCTTTTCTCTTTCTAAGCTGAGTATTATTGAGTTATTTTCATTGGATGAGAGGGCACTCTACCCACTAAAATTCCACCCCCGAAGATTGTGAAAGTGAAACTCGTTTCGTCTTTGCTCATTCCTTCTTGAGAATCTTTTTAGGGTGCGCTTAGTTATTTCATATTCCTGTTATTAGTTGTTTCCTTATTATTAGTTGTTTCCTTATTATTAGTTGTTTCATTATTATTTTTCCTTATATTATCCCTTTTAACATTTACCTTCCTAATCAACGTAATGGCTTCAAGAAGAAATAAGAGCTACACTGCCAGCTTAAAGCTGTCTGTGATTAAACGGGCTGAAGAAATCGGCAATTGAGCAGCGGGACGAGAATTTGAGTTAGACAAACGCTGCATTCGTCGATGAAGACAAGAAAAGCCAATTATAGAATAAAAGAGCCAGGAGAAGCGGAATAACTTAGTATCCAGAACTAGAACACAAACTGACGGAATGGGTGCTAAGTGAAAGAAAAAAATGGCACGCGGTTTCGACCGTTAGGATGAGGCTGCATGCAAAATAAGAGCGAGAGCATCAGTGGGGCAATCTTTGCATGTTGACTGAGAGCTAAAAATGAACAGCTCCATGGGTTTTGTGCAAAATATTGTGAGAGAGTCTAACCTCACTAATAATCAATTGATAAACATGAATGAAGTGCCCCTCAAATTCGATTGTCACCCTTCATGCACTGTGAAGCAAAACAGGTGAGAAAACTGTTTCCATTGAAACGACAGGCCATGAAAAAGCAAGCTTCGCCTGTGTGTTGGCCTGCTCAGCCACCGGGGATAAACTGAAACCCCTCGCTATCTTCAAAGGAAAAACGATTCCAAAGGGCAATTTCCCTAAGGAAATCGCTGTTTATGTGAACGAAAAGGGGTGGATGAATGAAAGTGTTGTGTTGGAGTGGCTAGGCGTTGTCTATAGATGCCAAAAGGGCTCTTTTTTTTCCACCCAAGTCTCCACTTATCATGAACTCCCTGACTGCTCATAGAGTAGAAACAATTTTAAAAGATGTGTGAAAATGTCAACTCAAATAACCATTATCCCAGGGGGCTTGACAAAAAAAATTGCAATCCCTTGTTATAACAATCAACAAGTCGTTTAAAAATGAAGTTCGGAAAAATTGGGGGAAATGGATGTGTGAGGAGGATGGGGATTTTCATATGTGTAGCGTATCTACCACTACAAAA